GTACGTTGTACGTCGTACGTTGTACGTCGTACGTTGTACGTCGTACGCAAAATTTGTTAGCAAGATTGCGCTCATAGTAGAAACTTAATTCAAAATCTGACTTTACAGGATGATTGGGGGCCCCGAGGAATAGAAATCATTAGCTTTTGAGCGACTTTGGTCGATGGAAAAAGATTTCATGCCTGTAGTGATACCTATGAAAAAGAGTCCAATTTTCGTCCAAAAGTCATACTTAATGTAGACTTAAACACTCAAAAATATGTATTGGGGGTTTTTTTGGCACGAGAAAACCGAATCCGAGGTTAGTTTTGAGATACAATCAATTTTTGATACAGTTTCCTTAAAAAAATCACAAAAAAATTGCATTTTTGTATGGGAGCCATGCCTGTATGCTACTTTAATGACGTGAAACTTTGCACAGACTATTTTTTACACAAAAAAATAACATTCTGAAAGTTTGAAGAGATTTCAATCAAAATTAGGGGTACCTCCCATACAACATTTTCAGTTTTTGGCTCAAAAACGAATATTTCGCATGGGAGGTACTCTTAATTTTGGTTGAAATTTCTCCAAACCCTCCGAATGTTATTTTTTTGTGAAAAAACAACCTGTGCAAAGTTTCACACCATTAAGGTAGCATACAGACATGGCTCCCATACAAAAATCCAAATTTTTTGTGACATTAGTTATGGAAAGTGTTTCAAAAATAATTTCTATGGCAAAATTAACGTCAGACATATTTTTTTGAATGTCATTGAAAAATGATTCCATTGCTTAAAATAAGAAACGTTTGTGGTGTACTGCGGTTAAACAGTGCGGAAAAGTTCGTCTTACGTTCGTAAGACCATTTATTTTATTTTCCAATTTCATAAAAATATATTTCAACCTAGTAATGAATTACAGGAAAATTTTCTGAAGGTATTTTTTTCGAAAATATTTAACTTATTAAAGTTATAATTTAGTTTTAATACGTCGATTATCAATCCATACATTCACCAACTTCCACGCCGCTCTTTAAATAGTTGAGTAGCAATTTCTTGTGCCTTATACCGTATGACTTTATTACCATAATGAGGTATAGAAGGGACAAAATAGACTCCGCCTCTTAATTTATATTGATCTCCAAGTTTTCCTGTTTGATTACAATTTCAAAGCCATTAATAAGTTATTATAATAAAAAAAATGCGAAATTTAACAAAAATAATACTTACCAGAAATCACATTAATAATATCATCTTCCGTCAACTGACAGTTGTCGTTGGGAACAATAAGTGCAGCTGGTAGATTTCCGTATTTTGAACTTGGAATGCCAACTGCACAAGCTGCCTTCACGTCAGGTATCGAAGTTAGAATATCATCAATTATAGTTGGTGATATCAATTGATTTGCATATGTGAAACATTCTTTTTTACGTCCAACAATATACAAATTACCATTATCATCGAAATAACCAACATCACCGGTTATATAGAAGCCATATCGATCGAGTGCTACTCGGTTCATTTCTTCATCATCGTAGCCAAGAAATGGGTAATTCGATTTCACATATAGCTCTCCAAATGTATTCGGACCACATTGATTCCCATTTAAATCAATTATTTTTACTTTCATTCCATTAAGAAGTTGGCCCACCGTATCCAATCCAGACGGTATTGGATAGTCAAATGACACCAATCCACCCATTTCACTCATTGCATATGCAACATGAACCATACCTAAGGGGAGAATCACAAAAGAAAAGAATAGAATTAATTTAAAGTAATCGACAAATAATCGAAAAACAATCAATAATAATTAGCAATTTTTAAGTGATTTGCCCCTTAACCATACCATTGGGAAGATGTTTATTCAATTTTTGTTGAAGATGAAATGGTACTTTGGAACCACCAGTTAACACAATTTGCAGACTGGATACATCACTTTGGTCAAAATGTTCGAGTTTTGTCATCAAAATTACTTGCTGTATTGCAATCGGTAAAAATGTTACACGATATTTTTCGATCAAACGTAATTGCAATTCGGGTGTCCATGATTCAGATGTTTGAATTCTAGTTGCTCCATTTATTGTTGACGATAACAAAATCAAATAGTAACTCAGCATACTAGGTAAACTAAAAGATAAAAGTACATCGTCCGTTTTTATTATATCATATGGATTTAATCCATCAAGTATTGCGGCATGTGACAGAGTGACACCTGTAAGAAAAAATGGTAAACATTGGGTGAACATTTCTTACTATACTAAGATTTCTATAGAAATCGTAATTCAGCGACTTTAAATTATATGCATGTAGGTAACAATTCTGGTACGTAAGGCTCAAACGATAATCAATATCTAGTGTAACATAAGGCTGCCAGATTTTACTTTTCCACACACCCACTGTGTCACCCCAAAATCACCCCAAAATTTTACAATCGTCAAAAATCATTTTTCTATGCATTTTGAGTTTAGAGAATCACAGAGCAACCGTTTTTTGGCCATGTTAATGGAGATGTGGTACACTGTACCGTGTACCCTGTACGCAAAAAATTTGTTAACACGATAACTCTTCTTAGAGAAAAGCAAATCCAAATCTGACTTTACAGGGTGATTGGGGGTCGCGAGGAATAGGCTGGTATCGTTTTTGAGTGATATTCGTTCATCGGTGTATTCATGGTGTACACATAAGGGGTCTGGTGTCTGGTCTTTCCCCAGAGACGTAAATCAAAGTTTGAAATGTATATTTGGGGGTTTTTTGGCACGAGAAAAACGAATCTGACATAAGTTTTGAGATTCAATCAATATTTGACATAGTTTCTTTGAAAAAATCACAAAAAGTTGAATTTTTGTATGGGAGCCATGCCTGCATGTTACCGTAATGACGTGAAACTTTGCACAAGCTATTTTTTCATCAAGAAAATCATTTCTGAAGGTTTGAAGAAATTCCAATCAAAATTATGGGTACCTCGATTTAACTAAAAAGGGATTCGATGTTTTTGAGATGTCGTAAATTTTGACCCATTGCAATACTTTCTCTTTACACACTAGGTGTGTGCGGAAAAGTAAAATCCGGGCATCCGGACCGGAAACTATTACATAGTGTGTAATGTGCAGTTTTAATAAAAGATTTCATATTACCTTTAGATGTTCCAGTTGATCCAGTTGTTCTACAGATCAACAAAGGATGCGTTGAGCCATCTATTTCTTCAGGCCTACAAAAAATACACATTACATTCTATTCTTTCTAATATTTACTTACTAATTCTAACTTACTTAAAGTTTTTTTCATTGCCAGTTCTTTTAAATAGATTTTGCACTGAATGATTATTATTGCCATTATCAATCGTAAATATTACTGGAGTGTATTTTAACGCCGACACACATTTAATTAAGACTTTATAGTATTGAATATCGCAAAATATTACTGGTGGTTTGGTCATATTAAATGTCTCAATAATATGATCCTTATCAAATGGCTCATGAACGCCATTTATTGGAGAACCAATTGCCATTGCTGCAAATACAATTGGTGCAATATTTTCCGAAGTTTTACTTATAAAACCAAAAATTTGTTGGGCAAATCCCAACGACTGAAGATTTTGTGCAGCACGAATTGCTTTTTTTCGGATGTCCATGAATGTTAATCGTTCACCGTTGTCGTCGTTTATCTGATGTGATAGATAAGAATGAATTTTCAAACAATTTTGTATGTACTTAAATGAAAGCTTAAAGCTTACTTAAAGCTCATCACCATTTATTCTAATACGTTCATTTGAAAAAAAATTGTATTTTTATCTGGATTTTAACTCACCTGAGCAATTCGATCTCCGTGCGTTTTTAATGCACATAAAATTACATGACCTGCTGATTTTGTACCGAATTTTGATGGATTTTGAGGACCACTCCATAGCATTGTTGATGTTGAATATGTTGTACCAATCGGAATTGCTGTTAAATAATACACAAAAAATCGTAAATCATTAAAAGACTATCGTTTATTATATGTTATGGCTTAATTTGAACATTTAATGAATTTAAAATCAGAATTTTTTATCGAATATCGGGATATTTTTAGCTTCAGATGCTAGGGACTGACAATGTGACCAATGTCCAAACCTATTTCTTACATTAGGAAAATAAAATCTGTTATTTTCTTACCTTGTCGCTCTTCAACTCTTCCGACCTATTATCAGTGATAAAAGTATATTACATTAATTTTGAAAAAAAAAAAAAAATTAAATTGATACTTACTAAATTCAACACGTAAAATATTAAATATTATTTTATCGTTCATAGAAAAAAAAAAAATAGAAATTGATTATTCAAATCTTTTGGTTTTCACTTTGAAAATGAAGTGAAGAAGATAATAGCTAATGATGAAATTCAAAACAATTCAACGACGTTCACTTTTTTACAAAATTGAATTTTCTGCTTAAATTTAAGAAAAATTGGCAGAAATGAAGCAGATTTGAAAGTTTTTGAGTATACATGCCGAATCAATAATTATTATAAAAATTGGTCAGCTTAAGAATGGCATGTAAAGGTAAATGTAAAGTTTACTTTGGTTTAGTGCGTGAGAATCGAGCAAATTGAGTATTTTTCTCTTAAAATTAAAAAAAATGTCAAAACTAGATCCACCTTTACATGTCAGTATGAATAGTATGAAAAATTGAACAAAAATCAATAAAATCACTCAAAAATCACTAAAAAAATCTGAAATGTATTTAAAAAGATATAAAAAATATTAAACCCATGTTAGTTGTATCATGACTATATCCATATCCGTCATGTCCCAATTCGCCTATATAGAGCAAAATGAAAGTCAAAGGAAAACTAATAATTTAGAGCTTTATCGTTAAAAAAGTGAAAATTTTAAAATTGAAAATCTTAAAATTAAAGACTTGAATTAAGTAAAAAAATCGTATTTCTTCTTTTTTTTGTATTGCTTACTTGACGATGATCCCGATGAAGTACCGATATTAATACGGCTCATACCGTCGGCAAGTGATGAAATATCTGCATTGCCTGAAAAATTAGACATACTTTTTATTTTGCAAATATATTTCTTTTTGTTTCATAGAATACTTACTATAGCCATGATTGCGCCCAAAACTGCCTGTTGTTTCTGGAACATTATTATCGCCGCGTCTACGGCCAGTTCTAATTGGCCGAGGCCCATTACCCTCTGCTATACTCACCACCAATAAGATCTATCCACATTCAACAATAAAATATATAGAGAATAAACATATATTTCTTCTTATTCTACCACACACTATTCATTACCAGTGACAAAGCCAGCCCAAAAAATTTTGATGAAAATGTCATCTTTATCACTAACGAGTTAATACGTTACTGAATCTAACTTTTGAAAGAGTCAAGTATTTATACTGTTTTTTACTGCATTCTTTGGGAAAAAACAACATCTGTCTCTGAAAATGTGTTTTTCTTTCTAGAACACGTCAACGTATTTTATTAAAGCAATGGTCTAACGCGTTTTCACGGGCACATTCACACTAGACCAATTTTTTTTTTGGCTGAATGCAATACTTCCAGTGGCTAAGTAGCACAAATGTAGTCAGAATGCTTTCAATAAACATAAAAGTGGTTCAAAGAATCATAATTTATTGAATTCGAGTCTTAGAATTGGCAGCGAAATGAACTGTTACTCCTTTGGCTTGCATTTTGCGAACATTTTCCGATCCTACGTTCATTTCTTGTAATTTCCTGTGAAAAATTTGTCAAAATAGTACCGAATGCACTTGTTTTATTATTCGCAGGTGATCTAAAATTGATCCGAACCATACAATCGCCTATAGTTGCCATCATTTTTCAGAATGATATTAATCAGTTGAGTGAATGGTGTACTGAAAATAGTCTCCATTTGAACTTGAAGAAATGTTTCGTTATGACATACTTAAAAGGCGGAAACATAGTCAACTATGATTATGCGATCAACAACGGCCAACATACATTTGAACGGATCAACTTACACAAGGATCTGGGAGTTGTATTTGACACGAAGCTTACATTTGTCAATCACATCGACGCGATTACAGCCAGTGCACGTGGAGCAATGGGATTTATCAAACGAGATGAGAATTTTATTTTGCCACCGTATCAGTTTAGATGATGTTTCAATATTCAACCGCTTTGGAGACGGCGTATAAATGCCTCTGTATTTTTAATTTATGATCTCCTTTTGGGTAAAATAGTGTCTAGCTCACTTAGAGATAGAATTGTATATACCAGAGGTCGCAACGGGCTGAAAAAACCGGCCCGACCGAATTTTCTTCATGCTTGCCCGACCCGAGCCCGACCGAAATGAAAAAAATCGTCCGAAATCCGAAATTTCCCGAACTCGGGCATTCGGTATTGTGTATAATTTTCTTAGTTGAATAATAAATTTATTTATAATTGAAAAAAAAAAAAATCAAAATGTCTTTAAAAACATATTGTTCAACAAAGATAATGAAACATTCGATCTCCCTCATGGTATGGCCACCCCCTATTTTCACATACTTATTTTTTCGCCACTTTATATCGATCTGTACTAAGGGAATTTAAAACTTTTATTAACACTTCGATACCTTTACTGGTTAGAATATGATATATAATTTATATGAAATTCAAATCGATCGTTAGCTACTGGTTTTTTATTACTCTACTAAGAGCATTTGTATGCAAATATCTATTTTGATTGTTCAATAAATTGAAATATTATAATGATATAAAGAAGAAATAATATTTAATGTAGCTTATCCCATAAGAAATTCAAAACACCAACCCAAATGAAACTAACACACACACCAATACACTCAAACAGTAACTAAGAAATGTGGATTATATACGACCAATGCCTGTCGTTGTCACCATTATCACTTCTTCGCCAATGAATGTCATGCGGTCGTTTCATGCACTTACACAGAAGGAGCGAGTAAGAGCAAAAGAGAGCTATACCACTATTGCCATACCACCTTGTACGAACTTCTGTATTTCCAATGCAGTCATGATTAATTAAACTTGTTGGCCCGAGCATATTCAAATTTATGAGGCGGCTGTGATAAAAAAAAAACTTTTATAGAAATGACCTCAGAGCTAGGGGAAATGATCTATTCGCGAATGATGAAATTCGCGAAAATTTATTAGTTGTATGATAAAGTCGTCATTTTAGTAAAATAATTCAAAAAATTCGCATACAATTCGCAAGCTATTCGCAAAAAGTTATCACAATCAAACTATATAATATACGCTTTCAAACGAACCAAGTGAATAGCGGCGACGCAAGAAAACGAAGTGAGTGAATAGCGGCAACGGATAACATTTTTTCTTTCGTTCGTTGTCGCTATTCACTCATTTCGTTTTCGTGCGTCGCCGCTATTCACTTGGCTCGTTTACAAGCGTTCACAATTTGATACATAAAAAACATACAAATTTTGCGAATTGTCTCACGTTCATAGCGTTTTGTTTGCGAATTGTTTTTTAAATCACAACTTTACTGGCCCATCGCTTACAAATCATTTCGCATAAAATTCGTAAAATATCGAATAATTCGCTATTTTCTGATCGAGATCCAATCCCCTAGCCTTAGAGCATGCTTGCATTTGCATATTAACTATATGGATCAGTATCAAATTCATCTAAAAATTCGTGTCACTCAAACTAAAAAGTCAAATTTCATCTACACGACGCTCAAAACCTGAATAAAACACATAAAGTTCATGACGTCATTTTTGGATGAACTTTTTTAAATCTGCCAATCGGTAACATGTTTTAAATTAGTAAGAATCAGGTCTTTTAATGTCATTAAAATGAGATTTGGTATAAATATCACGTTCGGTACCCATGTCATTTCATTTCTTAAGTAAAAGTGATCGATTTCGTTGCAAAATGTTTACATTCAAATTATTATTATCTATTTTTGTTACAGTTTTAAGTATTTGTTTTGCATCGGCAGCTGGTTAGTGTGTTTTTTTCCCTCAAAAATAAAATCTCCAATATTTGGTTAAAAGAAATTATTGTTTCAGTGAAACCGATGTTATCAACCGAATTACAGCCTCCGTTACAATCTAGTGACGTCAATTCATCCATGCCGCTTAGCAAAAATGTTAAATTGAATGGAAAATTTTAAAAAACAACATCACACTCATCATTTGTCGTCGCTTCGGTTTTTCAAGCAAACAATTTAAAAAATTTCGAGAAGAAAACAATGGAACACGTATTCAGAATTTAAATTGGTTGTGCTGTTTTGCAAACATTTTCTTATGTAAATAATATTCAACAGAAAAATAAAATTCCCAATGGAAGTTTTTCATGTTTGAACAATTGGTTCTATTTAAAAAAACACTGTTTTTCACTTTGATGAATTTGAAGTAAGTCTTCTCTTTTCGATGAAATTTTTAACAATTTACCTTGATTTGAGTGAAACTAAAATCAAAAAAATAGTTGGATAGCCTTTAGGCAGGGTGTATAAACTATTGTCTAAAATATATAATTAAAAAAAATGATTCTATTTATGAATTAAAATATATTCAACAGGGTTCAGGCTTTCATTTGCCGGTCATTTGACAAGTGAAAATAAAGCGGATGTTTAATTATAAACGCAAATGTACGCGAAAACAGAAATTGTTTCTCTCTTCGTTTATAGCAATTTTATAGCATTTTTTGAGTAAACTATGCAATTTTTTGAATTTCGATTATTTTTTTAAGGAATTTTAAACCAAAATAATCACAGAAAAATAGTTCTCATGTCAAATAAAATTAATGCATTAGAGGGTTAATATAATTTAAATGCTGTAATTAATTCGAGGAAGAAACATAATTTCCTAATATATAATCAAGAGATTTGAGTAAATGGATAAAATCGTATTAAATACACTTTGAAAGACTTTGCACCTTCATGAATTTAATAGACAAAGTATCACATCCTTCAGCAATCAAAAAGTCTCATATGTTTTTTTTTCAGCGTGAAAATGAATGTATAGCTTAATGAAATACACGGTTATAATAATGATGGTATGTATTAGTCGGGTGTCGATTCAATGACAATGCGTCATACATGCTCATAAATAGTCGTAATTCACCAATAAAATGCGATGGTGTAACACAAAATCAGCCGTGCACTCTCTCTCTCACACACACACGCATATGTCTTCATACACATGGATTAGAATCCATCAACAGTGGTGTATAACCACCGAGTTCGCGACTTATGCTACTGCGAAAATGTTATTTCATTATAAGAAAACAGAAACACCCATATTTTCCACGATTTTCTCTATTTCTTATTTCCATTTGTTGTGTCGTATTTGTTTTTCACATGCGCAAATAAGGTCAAAGCAGCATAGGGCCACAGTAAAAAGAAGTAAAATGCTTTCCTCTCTCTCTCGCTCCCCGTATCGCTGAGCGACAACAAAAATAAAATGTCAAGACTATATCAGTGGCAAACACAATATCCATATGAAAAAGTGCTCTGGTTCGGTTCAGCACGGGAGATGTGATAGCCCTCTGAGTGTGTATAAGACGAAAGCATCGATTCGTGTGGCAAATCTAATCAAAATTGGTAAACTCAACTCAATGACACACACATACGGATTGGGGATGAGTGTATCAACGATAAAGACAACAGTATAGCTGGAGAAAATGTTAAATCCACGTGGCATGAGCGAAAAATATTGAGTCTTTTACTCAAATCGTACCGCTCACATCGTGGAACATATTTATTTCAACCAACTGGTGTTGGAGAAATGTGGATTCGATGCATCCACTTTTCTGCAGCACGGAAATTCATTTGGTTCGTCACAAGCACTCGAATGAAATGTATTTGGTATCGGTTCGAAATGTTCAAAATCAGTGCGATTCAACGAGTACAGCAGAACGGTCGCTGATTCGATTTCTCGCTGATGATTTTAATTCAAAAGGGTGTCTAAATCAAAAGTAAACCATCAAAAATCATAAAATATATATTTTAAAGAAAAACAAAAACCAAATCATTTAATTTGCTTGTAAAACAAATCTTCGATAATTATATCGAAAGTCAACAACAACTAAAAGATGAAAAAAGAACGAAGATAAAAAGCAGTTATACAAATGGAAATTAACATTAAACTGAATAAAATATACTGATTAATTTGGATTAATTTGGCGTATCATATAACTCATTTGTAATATAACAAATAACGATTTTAAACATTTTGACATTAACAAAACCATTCTCTCCGCGAATCGTTTATTTATTTAAAGTCAACAATCATTTTGTGTTAAACAAACGGATAATTTCATTTCAAAATTCGAAAGAGAAACAGCTGCAAAACTGTTTTGTATTTTATACTGTTTTCTCTGTTTTATTGGCTGTTTAGAAATTTATCATACTACGCTAGATACATGTAGTAAAATATATTGAATATAATTTTGATTGAATTTGATATCCCGTCGATTTTCATGATTATCCCATAAAATTGTCTATCCAAAAAATATTTGTCGCGAAAAAACAGTTTAACAAATTGATTTATCATCCAGTCAGATAGAGAGAAAGAGAGAGAGAGAGGGAGAAAGAGAGAGGCTGAATGTAATATTTATTTATAACTTATTGGCTCCACATAATTAAATCAGTGTAAGTTGGTGTTCATTGGACATTGATGATGACGTGAAAACAATATTTAACCGATTCAATTTTTTTTCTTGCGCTCGTTTGGTTTCTGTTCACTGAACGAGAAGTGTAAATGCGGAAAATATATGCATTTTTTTCAGTTGGTCTTTGTTGTTGTCACCGTGGTTGAAATGTGCATCCCATATAATTGATTTATTGTTTATTTTCCGTCAAAATACCGTTAATATTGCATTCGTATTTCTGATGACATGTAAAAATAATTGCAATGAACAAGTACATAAAACATAATTCATCTCATTTTGACTTTGTTGTAATATTGAATGACGGCATTCGCATCAATATGGATTGAATGTTCATTCGAATTGCTGCGATTCAAAATGATAAAATTCTTCATTTTTTGACGCATCTTGAGGTAATGTCATTCATATTTGTTGTTAAATTCAAAAAATGTGTTTTCAACGACAGCTCACACAAACGATACTTCTGGAATACACGAATCTCTCTTTTAGCCAGTGAATATCACGATACTATTGATAGTACGATATGAATATTGAACTATTGGTACATTTGAACCGCCTAGAATAAATCAGCATTACTAGATAAATGTCTTCAAATGCGTTATAGAAAAAAGTACGTCAGCAATAGTGTCAAAAACTGTATGTGACGCGTTATATAAAAAAGTTCGCCAACAAAAGCGTGACATCGTCCATATATTTTATAACGCTTTTGCTGACTGACTTTTTTCAGTAACGCATTTGAAGACATTTATCTAGTAATGCTGATTTATTTTAAGGGATTCATTTCAATTTTGTGACAACGACAACATGTATTTTGAACGTGGAACCGCATATGTTGGACATCTAAAGTACCAAAATAGAACTCCATCAAAAGTACACTATATCGTACTATCAATAGTATTAGGTATCACACTATATCAATAGTATGGTTCTAATCTGTGCTTTTTGCATTCAAATGTTCAATAATCAAATCCAAATTTTTTGGAATTTAATATAGGGAAAAAAGCACGACTATTCAAAGTGAAATAATAAAATTGGTTTTCATCAGTCGTCCAGTTTATTTGTGGGCCGATTGTTATTAATTTGAATTTCACCCCAACCGATGTTTGTGCACAATGTAAAAGCCAAACTTTAGTTTGAATTCGTGGTTTGGTTTTTGTAAAATGAGCGTGGTAAACCAAATGCGTATGTTTAAAATTACAATAATTTTTCGGTTTTTTGAAAAACATTTGGACACTTGTACACATTTGTTGCAATAATTTCCAATTGAGATCACACTGTTTCGCGGGCTCTCTCTCTCTCTCTCTCTTTTTCGGTCACGATGTGTATGTGCGAAATTTGTTTTGCACAAAAATCGTACATGTTTCAAAATTAAATAGTACGTGTGTATGTGTGGTGCACGTTTTTCCGTCCGTGTGTGTTTTGTTTGTGAAAATATGATTCAAATGTATGTGCGCATATTTTCGGTAAATCGATAAGCGATAAAATTGCACAAAGTGTGAGAACCGGAGGTTTGTTTGGTTAATACATGTAGTTGCAATTTCGCTTCGCCATTTTTGAAGCAAGTTTTAAGCTTTTCAACTAATGCCATTGAGCCAAAAACTTCAAATCCCCGATCATTGAGCCATTTTAATACATTTCTACCTATCTGTGATGCTGAATAAAAAAAAACACAACAAGTAACAACATATTGATTTTATCCATTTTTTATTTAGACTTTATTCATTGGTCGCTTTTTATGTTGGTTTACATTTGCCAACAAATAAATATTTACTCGCGAACAAAGAAGAGCCATAAGCGTGCACAGAGACGCGATGCGAAAAAAAATCGTTTACAAATTTATAGTTTTCACTCGTTGCATCGATAAAATGCAACGGATGACAAATTTTACCAATGCATGCCCATTCACCAGTTTTCAGCAATAAAAACGGCACATAAAATATAGTCGCCGTTTTTTCTCACCTTCACACAAATGTATGTGTGTATACCTCAACAGTACAGGTGTTTAGCAAACTTGAAATAAAAAGGAAGCTGAACAAACAAACAAAAAATAAATACACAACATGCACTAAAAATTAAATACACACACACAAATCAGACTGGACACACGAACCGAACCTCGTTACAAACGAGAAAGAAAAGCAATAAATGACAAGTACATGATGTACGCGCCGATTCTCGGTTTTGAAATTGCAACCATGAAAAATACCAAACTACACAACCGTTGTGGTGGCCAAATATATGAAAAATGGTGAATCGGAAACAGTTTTCTGATTACGGAATGGACATTTTTATATTATTACATTGGCAAGAGTTAAAAAAAAATAGCGAAACAAAAAGAAGAAAGAACGTAGTTTGGCCGAACTTTCAATGGGGGCGAACACATTTACTTGAGTTTTGCATTTTCTGGTGCACCAAGTGAGCATATTTTCTAGATTTATTTAATTTGAATGGTTTAATCTGTGTTGCAATGCTATTGATGTTGTTGCTTTTTATTCACACTCGTTTTATTGACGTTTATCAGGCGCGTGTTCGTTTGGTTATTATGTTTCCGTATGTTTTTGTGATTTTTATTAGATTTTGTGCCAGCTGAAGAGGTAAATAAATCAAATGGTTTGTGTTGCGTGCGCTTCTGTTACAGTAAACAATGTTCTCTTTGGATTTTTGTAATATAGACCATACATGCATATGTATAGCCCTGGGCAACTACCAGTTCACAACCGGTCAACATCGAAACGTTTGCTTTTCATCGCTGCAATTCCAACATTTTCCGCGTGTAATTTGAAGCGATTTTCTTTTTCGCTCGTTTTTTTTTTCTTCGAAAAATAGCGGGATTTTTGCTTGTCTACTACTATTTTCGAACATTTTTTTTTGTTCGCTGTGGCCGTCGACACAACGATGATATTCGACATTTCGTTACGTTGTCTATTGGTTGATTTAAATTTGAAATATGCATTTTTCAATTTATTTATCGACAACGCTCTCATTCCCGTTCGCATTCTCGTTCTCACCCACACATGTTCTATCTTATTTGAACCATGAGTATCAATGAATCGCACGTTTGTTTGTACTTTTTATGTGTGCATGTATGCAAATTCACTTGAATCAATACAGATTACGATGGACAATCACGATCCAATGTACTTTTCAATTGATCGTTTTTCATTTTCGGCTGGACTCTTCCTCGTTGCTTACTCCTCTGTTCAGATTTTCTGGGGCATCTGGCTGCCAAACTCTCAACCCATTCAAACGTATTCTCACATTTTAATCGCTATCGAATGTAACAGCAACAACAACAACAACAAAAAATGCCGAACAAATACAGCCCATTATTGCTGTGGCATCTTTACGAACGAGAGAAAGAGATAGGCAGAAATTTTGTATATGTGTTTTGAGTGTATGTTTTTTGTTTGCCATCGTACAAACGCTTCGCAGTGATTTAATTAAATTAAAACTGAAATGATTTTTATAGCCTTCCATTCTATCTCTGGCCATTGACTATATTTAGATTTAGATGCTGTGAATTGTGTTACCCGCTTTCCACTTTGACACTTGCAAATGCAATTGGGAATTTTTTGTTGAACAAAAAAAGAAGAAAAAAATGTTTGAAAGAGAGATAGAGTTGAGGCAATTTATGGGGAAAATTTTCCTTTTTATTCGAAATGGTCAGCTTTTTGTATGCAAATCGAGCACAATCGAATTACGTTCCGATTGAAATTCGTAGCGTATAGTTAAAGTTCGGAAGTGCTGCTTGCACAATAACTACGGTTATTGACAATCGGTTGTGGGGAAAAACGAGGACGATATCATATAAGACGGAAAGAGAGAGAGAGAATGAGAGCGAACAAGTGAGAAAGAGAAGAGAAAGCATTTGTACGTGTGTGTGTTTCACAGCAAATTCGATTTAATTGCTCAATTAGCGGTCGCTTGTTAAGGCAAATTCAATCTATATTGTGAACAGTGTCTCGTGTTCACCACTCGGTTGGCCAGTTTATAGTGAACATTTAGCCATCCGTGCCGCGCACTCTTCTCGATAAATTCTTACATTGGATTTTACCAAACCACAAATTAGTGCTTTTTATGCAAATATTTCACTGTTAATTGCCCACAACCACACGGAGATTGTTTGTCCCGTCAAGTTATAAACTCACTCCAGTATATGTTTCGCTTTCAAAAGACACTGCAATAAAAAAAATGAAATATGTCGGTTAATTTTCAATAACTATAATTTAAATAATGAATTGAATGTCACCGATTTTAATTGCTCTATTTATGACGCTGGTTTGCGTCTCGAGTATTCTATAATTGGTGTAAGTCGATAAAAATAATATGGTAGGTGCGTGATAAATGTAAATGACAAGTGAAAATGACGCTACAAATGTTCAACAATTTCCGAAAGCAATTTTTGAATTTTATTGAACGACAACGAACCAAACCAACTAGGGGGAGCTTTCTTTAACAAGTGCCAGCAACAATGTTATTTTCAAACTTGAACTAGAATTTTATTTAGTTGTTGTTCGTTCCTATTTGGAATTTAATTTTTCTTGGAACACACAAAGTCCCGACGAGTCGTTATTTTCAGTGTTTTTCAGTGCATATCGAAGATGTGCGCTACTTAATATTTTGGCTCGAATAAATTAGACTGAACGAGGCAAATTTATTAGAATCATTAAAAAATAGAATGCAAATGGAGACGACGATGCTGGTGTGTGTGTGTGTGTTGGTGTTCAATGTTAAGGAAAGAAGAAGAATCTGGTGGAAGCAATTTAAAGCGATTAACATTGAATTGTACTTATGTGTTTCGACTTAAATTGCCAAAATACACTCTTTGAGGAAAATGGAACGAGCACACGATAGCCAAAGAATGAAAAGAAAAACGCACACAACAAAACCAGCCATTTTGACCGACAATGAGTCTTTCGGTGGTTTGTTGAAAAACTATCCTTGGCAGAGAAACAATTTACACACTACAAGGGCACATTTCAATATTTCACTTGTATATTGCAGCACTTAAATAACCTTTTGAAAGTTTTTCGAACAAAACCCGAAATGCAACACCAACAACAACCATGCGTTATTTCGGTTTGCGAATTTTGTTTTGTGCCACCAGTAATGAAGTAGAAAATAAACTAAATATAACCGGAGTAACCGACTTTAGTCGATTTGATGAATTTTTGAAATGAAATCGGATTTCGGTGTTAGTTTTCGTAAATGTCAAACTTAATTTAAACATTTTAAGTTTATTGCAGGACTTGCATAAAATATTTGAAGTGAATTATAGCAAATTAAATTCCAAGTGTCATTGATTAGAAAAAGTGTTGTTTTTTTAATGTTAAAAAGAAGTGAAATTGAATATGAAATGAATTAAAAATGAAACATGCATTTCAATCGTCGATTTTGTGCAATGAAAGTGAGTTTCCAACATATCCGGGCGGTACATCGGGCCGATCAACAGCAAAACGTAATTTGAATTGGTCATTTGTTGATGGTAGCACACTGACAAATCCAATAAATGTAAGTACGATAAAAATGCCGTCTATTTATTGCCCCTCTTCGCCGTTATTTGTTGAGTTTGACTTTTCGATTGAATTGAGGCTAATCGTTTCGATTTCGGTATGTAGTTAATGGGCCGCAGCATATCAGATAAACACGATATACATTTAAAATAGACTCCATCATTACCCATTGCTAATTTTATTGATGTTTACTTGTAATAATATTTCCGTTTCAACAGCAGTAACCGTCGGCTCAGTTGTGCGAAAATGAGTATGAGTTTGCCGCCTCTTTAAAGCCGTCACTTTTCTGTCGTTTCTAATTCCATAAATAAAATGAAACAAAACAGTCCGAGTGCGCATTCATTTTCGTTCAATTCAAATAAATGTCAATATTTATCATGCTATTCGACAACACCACTGCTTCATAGCTGCTGTACATTTTTCATTTCGATTCTTTTTGCTCCAACATTTATATACAATTTTCTTCATTCGATATCGGGTACTACAAATGCGAATCGGTGTGTTTCACAGAAATCCCAATGTGTTTCTACTTATTTTTTTTTTTCGTTCGCTCTTTTGAATCCCACGTTTTATTTCCACCATCTATTTTGCTATGTGTTATCTTGATCTTAATTTGTTTTTCGCGCATTATTACAATTCGTTTGGGTCGCTTTCGATGTTTCGCGTATATAAATATTTCATTGCAGTCACACATTCAGCAGAAGGGGCAATAATTGGACTGTTGAACAGAAGGGTTATGTGTTTATCGTTTCCGACGAGCCATCGCGCGCCTCGAATTCATTGCCACTTTGCTGCTCGGTTGTTGATTTTTTTTTTTCACTTCATTTTCGTTCACGTGAAGGCAATTTCTTTGCTGTGCTTTTAGATTTCACTCATGCCATCGTCGTTTGTTTAGTGGTGGTCGTATGCTCAACGTGAAATGAAATTTAAGCAATGCCGTGCGGTAATGTTTCCGCTTGCTTCTTTCTCGCAGTCTCGCACACACCAAAATGAACATCGTTTTGATCGATCCAGATTTCATACTCGCCATTCAAAAGGCGAACGAGAAAAATAACTGAAGAACTTTCACATGGTGTATTATTTCACGCGTTTGTTTCCTCGCCAATGGGAAAAATGTGGCCAAAAGGTGCAAAAAGTGGAATTAAAAGAATTTCACCCTCTCGGCATTAAAAAAAATAACACAATAAAACAAACGAGGTGCACACACAGTGTGCAGCACACTTTTCAAAATATAGTAATTCATTTGTTTTGTCTGGCTTGAATGCTTTTGAACATTTTGTGTTTGTGTTTTGCTGAAGAAAAAAAAATACAAAAATTCACTTGAAGTGTAGAATAATAGTTTTCGTTCTTATTTAATAGAACACTTGGCTTAAATGCTGACATTTATTTCTTACGTAATTAAAAGTTCCTTCATCAATTCAAAGCAACGCATATATGCAAACGCAGTACCGGCACAAAAGTTTTATTATTCTTCGTAACGGAGAAGGGAAACCTGAGTATGTTCATTTTTTTTTTGTGTTTGAATATGCAAAAAATCGCATTCAGCACTAGTTTTATACACTCTTTCTTCGTGAAGATGTTTGATATTGTTGAAAGTATTTTTGCACACGCATTTAAACGCAAACTTTTAATTAATTATACTTTGCGATAAATACGCGATGTGCCCGAGGTGGGAAAGAGAACGAATATTTGCAAAATACAGTTTTTCACGCCATTTTGGCGCAACCAGAAAAAAGGTACAAAGTAGTATTTAAAAATGCATTTACAATTTACACAGTGTCAGAGATAAACGCTAATTATTCGATTATAGTGTCGGTATAATGCCATAAATATACACGCGCCACATTTTTCAAAGAGAGAAAAAATTGCACGAACGAAGCACAAAAGTGAGGAATATAAATTTTCTATTATAGCCTTTGAACTCGCTTGACATTTTTTTAACACATTTTTGCCATTATCAGTGACCGAGAAAAAAAATTACGCGTGCGACCGAGAAAAAAAATATGGAGTACAATCCAAATAAAACTATATAAACATGATGGAAACTTTTGAGTTTACAGACTAGCAGAAAACTTTGGAGTAGGTGAAGGGAAGGACATGTGTTTCGTGTCAACGGTCAGTAAGAAAATTCCAATTTCCGTAATAAATACGAAATGCTGATACATTGATCACACTCAACATATCTAAATGAGCGTCACACTTGATATTTTTCGATTTATTGTTGGATGCTGAAGCACAGGAAAGTAAAAAAGATCTTCGAAGAGAGAACGGGTGAGAGAGGTGGAAGAAAAGTGACAAAGAGACACTCTCTGAGAGGGTGGGAGAGAGAAAAAGGAAGATAGTTAGAGATGGTGAAGTGGGAGAGAGATAGGATTGAGTGTCCCGAATGAACCGAGACCAAGCTAAAGATATGGAAAAGTGGCCACTAAGCATCCATATATGGCTTTCACCCTCCTTTGACTTTCCTTACCGATATATTCCCTCATATATCCATAAATCGGAAAGCCAATGACATATTCAAAATGTGCATTCTCGCACTCACACAACGTGGTGGCATTCCCGTCCACTAAGTATATCTCTATCTTTATGCATCACGATAACATTTGAAATGAAAATCTGTGCTGTGACATAAATTTTGTGTCGAGCGTCCGTAACAAACTGACTACAAGAAAATTCCGTATGTTTTGTGTGTGTGTGTGTGCGATCCGTGCCTCTCTGTCTCATTCTCTTGTTCGCTCAATGTGAGTGAATGAACGTTATTCACCGTGTTTGAGGAAATTTCAAATAATTCAGAATACTTTCCTGTTTGGCCATGGATGCCATTGCAATTGCATAAGATGCATTGCGAAAACAATAACAAACTTCATTGCTGGAGACGATTCACACTAAAGAGACTACAATTTATTCGGGGAATAAATGAGAATGTGTTCGCCTTTATTTTCAGCTTTTTAGCCAAAGCGCACTAACTTTAAAACTGACACATCAACTATTCTGCATATAAGCAAAATAGATGCGGCAGATAAATTATACGGGGGCTACTGGTTTGTGTGCCGGTACACAAGCGGCGAACGAACAAAAGACGAAGATACACACTCACTCTCAATTCCAAATATCTGGAGAATGTGAAGGCGAAAAATTGCGAAGAGAGATGCGGAGAGAGGGCAGGGAGAATTGAGTGAGAGAGCTCGGGAAATAGAGAAAATTCACACAGTTGTATTTGGTGGTATGATATGAGGATGCTATTGTCGCAATTCGCCATAATTTTAACATAAAATATACGACTCATGCATGATGGTGCACATGCATCGTGCAGTCAAGGAAGTGGCATTTTGCATGTGACTCGTCTTTGTCTTGTTTGCATCGTCTCAACGGCCGCTAACGATATATATATACGAGAATGTCTCTTGGCAATGCTAAGCTCAGCGCATATCCATATGCCACACTGTTGTTATGTGGTAAATTGTTGCATGCCTAATTTTCCTACCTCTCTCTCTCTCTCTCTCTCTCTCCCTCTCTTGCGACGTATAAAAAGTCGGAATTGGAGTGAAATTGTTAGTTTTCATATGAAATGTTCTTAGGCTTTATCATATGGTTTGCAGCAGATAATTTATATATATCAAATACTAAATATCGTTGCATATTGTAAACGATTTTAATGGGATCATTTCACTATATGGGCCAGTAGAGTTGTTAATTAAAATGTGGTCTAAGCCTGCAGTCTCTATATGCACTCTGAAAATTAAAAAGTCGTGGGATGTGACCTTCGTATTTTCATATTTTCGCATTGACCGTTTGATAAAAAGACACATTTACAAAACACACATTCCGGTAGCATCAGATCGGTGTCGGTTGCATCAAGGCAGAAAATGTTGTTGAAAAGTTCAATTAAAACAGTGAAAACCGCCGGAACAAAGTGCTCGACATCATTTAAATGGAGAAAGGCAAAAAAAATCCGAATTCGTTGTGAGCACTGTGGCGAAAAAGACGGAATTAACCACCATAAAGGCGATATTTCGTTGAGAAAAATGGTAAAAACCCATTTGCTTATGCATTTTGTATGGAAAATCGGCAAAAAGATTGACTGCATTAGCATTACAAACGCTTTGGCTCTTTCTCTGTCTTCGCTTTCTCTCTTTTTGCACAAATAAATCATGAATACCGCCATGGAAGTGGAGTCGTTTTTCTTGTGTGGCTGCCGTTATTGTTGCTTCCATTCAGGAACAAAAAGAACCATAATAAACAAAGAACAAACGACACCAGGTACAAAGGTGTTCTCTATCAAAGCGAACTCCATACACAGTTCTTCATGGCTCACTGCTGCGAGAGAAAGAAAAAAAACGAATATTCTCCTCTCACCGTTGACGACTATTAAATTCATATTAGTCGTTGACAAAAGAAGAAACCATACGCCCATTTCTCTGTTTCTCCTGCCGTCTTTCTCTTTTTCCTTCTCTCTCTCTCTCGCTACCTCTTTCTTTCTCGCTACGACTTTCGATTGCATTACAAATTGCACAGAGGCAGCAATTTATTCTTTTTTTTGCAGCACCGGCTCGAAACCAACTGGTTTGCATCTCTCATTGTTATGCTTTTTTTAATCTAACACTTTGACGTTCATAAACGCCTGAATGTATGTGTATTTTTGTTAGGCTTTTCATTCAATCGACATGAATAGCGTACACGACAGAGCAAAAATGAATGTGCAAATGAACATTCAAATGAATATAAACATCAAGAAATACTCATTTAATCGCATCGACGGAGCCTTGTTTTCTTTTCATCCATTGTCTCTGTCATTCGACATATTTGTAATTTTCGGTTACACACTGTGACAAATCAAAGAAAACAAATAATACGTAAAAAAAAGCGAATTGTTTTTTCAAAATAAAAATGAAATACGTACCATTATCACAGGTCACCATGGCCTGGAAATGCCTATGTAATTTACATATAAACGAGTGAGACTCAAACATGTTCTTCTTTATACATCAAATATACCAG